AAGCGTCCAACTCGGCTCAGGTTGTGATCTCAGGGTCATGAGATCAAGCCCCCCCGTTGCCCTCCGAGCTCAGCATGGAGTATGCTTGATATTCTCTCCCTCTCACTCTGCCCCTCCCCCTGTGCTTGCTCTCTCAAATAAATAAAAAAATCTAACAAACAAACATTAGGCTAGGGGAAAGCAGCTAGACACACAGGCCACATACTGTACGATTCCATTTACATGAAATGCCCAGAAGAGGCAAAGCCGTAGAGACAGAAAGTAGGTTAGTGGCTGCCAGAGGCTGGGAGTAGTAAGACTGCGGAGTGACTGCCTAATAGGTAGAGGGTTTCCTTTCGGGGTGATGCAAATGCCTTGGAAATAGAGGTGATGGTTGCACAACATTGTGAATGTGCTTGATGCTGCCAAACTGTACACTTTAAATGGTTCATGGTTTGGGGCAGCTGGGTGGCTCAGTCAGTTAAGCGTCCAACTCCTGATTTCTTGATTTTGGCTCAGGGTATGATCTGGGGGTCCTGAGATCGAGCCCGCACATTGGGTTCCATGCTGGGCATGGAGTCTGCGTAAGTCTCTCTCTCTCTTTCTGCCTCTCCTCTCCCCTCACCATGCATGCAGGTGCACTTTTTCTCTTTCTCTCTTATAAAGAAAATGGTTCATGGTTAATTTTATGTTGTGTGAATTTTACTTCAATAAAAAAATAATAATAATAGTGAATATTACAAGGTGTTTGGAATCTAGGCAAATACAGAAATGGGTCCCTGCTTTTGTGTTCGGGTCTGATGTGCTGACCACCTCCGCGCTGCAGGGAGGCAGGGAAGGCTGGGTTCAGATGCCCCATAGAATGAGGTCTTAATGTAGACCAGCTGAGGAATTTCTCCTTCAGAGGCCCTCCGCTTTTCGGACGCGTGCTTTTCCCCTTGAGGTCTGCTGAGGAGAACAGTTACTCATGGAGTTTCCAACCACAGACTGAGTTTTAAGTGTTTCTTCATCCTCCTTGTTTTCAAATAACTTGTGCCTCACGAAACCAAAATAGCAAGGGAAAATATGGTCATTTTCTGCTTTCAGCAAAATCTCTTCAGCCACTTTGGCTCTGGAAGTCGTTCTCCTCCCACTCCCTGCAAATGCTGTCCGGGTTGCTCCTCAGGCCAAGACCCAGTGCTGGATTTTCAAAACGAAATGGGTTGGGGGAAACGGAGAGGCAGTGGGGGAGACCATCCCATGGCCTCTGACCTCACGGTAATCCCGGAACTTCCTTCTCGTGCCACAAACATACCTTTTGTGACAGTAAAGACAGAGAGGATCCTGGATTCACCCCTCAGCTTTGCTGACTAATGTGCGTCATGGGGGATGGAGAAACTGGTGTGTCTCAGGATGGGTGTTCTGCTGATAGCCTCACAGGCCCTGCGAATCCTATGGTAGAGAGCTGTCCCATAGGAGGAGTAGAACACAAGGCCCCAGGAAGGCCTCCGAGCCTAAATATTGATAATCGCCCCAAACTGAAACAAGTGTTCTACTTGTTTCAATGGGGGGAATGAATGATGAACAAACTAGTAGCCCCCATACAAGGAGTACTACTCCACAATTAAAGCCAACGAGCTACTTATCCATGCAACGACACCAATGAATGGCGCACACATACTGCCCTTCACTCCACAGCACCTGAGTCTCATTAATAAAGGATGTGTTCTCTTTGGGGTGCAGGCGCTCTCTCCCTAAAGACTTCCTTTTCTCTTTTAAGTCAAGTTGATTGAGGTATAATTTACCTCAATGTAAATGTACCCATTTTAAGTGTATAACAAATGTAACACACCCATGTAAGCTCCACTCTACACAGGATTTAGAACATTCCTACCATTCAGAAAGTTTCCTCGGGTCCCATTGACAGCAGTCCCCTCCCCATCCGCAGCTCCAGAAAACCACTGATCCGCTTTCTGAACTGTAGATTCGTTTTGCCTATTCTAGAACTTCATATAAATGGAATCAAATGGTTTTTTTCAGTCAACATGATGTTTGTGAGATGCATCTGTGTTGTCTGAATGTCACTTGTTCCTTCATTTTTTTAAAGATTTATTTATTTATTTGAGAGAGACAGAGAGATCTCAGGGAGCGGCAGAGGGAGAGGGAAAGAGAAACCTTCACAGACTCCTTGCTGAACGTGCAGCCAGACGCGGGACTCGATCTCATGGCCCTGACATCATGACCTGAGCCCAAACCAAGAGTTGAACGCTCAACCAACTGAGCCACCCCGGGGCCCCGGAGGTTCATTTTTACTGCTGGACAATATTCCACTGTGCGGATGTACCCCATCCGCACAGGTGTTCAGTCACCTGTGGATGGGCATTTGGTTTGTTTTCCAGTTTTCACCTATTTCGACTAAGGCTGACGGAAGGATTTGTGGGTGAGTCTTGCCGCGGACACGTGTTTTCAGTCAGCGTTTACCTAGGAGAGGAATTGCTGGGTCAGATGGTAAGTATCTCAGTTGCTTCACATCCACACCAACACTTGCTATGTCTTTTTAACTCTAGCCATCCTAGTGGGTGTGAAGTGGTATCTCCTTGTGGGTTTCATTTGCATCTCCCTGATGACTAATAAGGTTGAGTATCTTTTCATGTACTTGCTAGTCATCTGTATATCTTCTTTGATGAAAGAGCTATTCAAAACATGCTGCCCATATTTTAAAGATGGGTTGTTTTAGGGGGCACCTGGCTGGCTCAGTTGGGAGAGCATGTGACTCTCGATCTTGGGGTCATGAATTCGAGCCCCACATTGGGCATAGAGGTTACTCACTTAAAAAAAAATTGTAATGGGTTGTCTTATTGAGTTTGAAGAGTTTCTGAACTAGATACAGATTTTTTTAGGTGCAAGGCCTCTATCAGGTACTGTAATGGTTCTCATCTGGGCGGCTTCACCCATTTAACAAATCTTTACAAGCACCTACAATGTCTTAGATTCTAGAGACAGCAAGGTGAATAAAACAGAAACCCGGGCCCTTGTTAGAGACTTGTGGTTTAGAGCAAGCCCTGGGTGAGGAACCCTGTAAAGCAAGAAATTGAGATATTACGCTGTGGACAGCAGGAAGACCCCAAAGGGGCTGCCATAGTGGAGAGGGGAGGGGCGGGAAGGGGAGGGGCGGAGAAGGGAAGGGAAGGGAGGGGAGGGGAGGGGAGGGGAGGTACTTCCAGTGAACCCTCCTGTCCAGAAAATTTCTGTTCCGGTTTTGTCCCAGATTTGCCCTGCCGTGAGCCACTTCTGATTCCCCCACGACCTTGTTTTGTCAGGCTCATTTAATCTTTTTTTTTTTTCTCTAGCTAAGGAGGTACAACCCTATCCCTGCCTGCTTCTCGGGAACATGTCGTTCATAATCCTGTGACTTGTAGTCAGAGTAATACTGTCTGTGCTGCTGAGTGTGTTTTAAATTAAAGCGCCAGGGGATGTGGAGACGGTCATTAATTTTAAGTGCATCTATTGTTAGCAAATGATGTCACTGCTAAGCTCTCCAACTTGTCACAAGAAGTCTGGATGTATTTCGGGTTTCTGCGGCAGCAAGAACAGCTCCCGTTTTGCCATGCGCAGGCTAGGAATACTGTCTGCATTCTGTCAGGGATGGGAGAGCTTTGGGTACACACTGAAAATCATGCTGGCTCAGAGAACCAAACATTCTGTCCCAATGAGTCAATCAAACTTCATGTCCTTTCTAGGTAGAAGATATGGCAAGGAGCTGGCTGTTCGTAATTATATGTCAACCTCTGTCCTTTGGAGGCTCCTCGGTGTAGAAAGTCATGTCCTGCTTATCACAGTGTTCCCTGCACCTTGTTCCAGTTCGGTTTCTCATTTATGTATTGGGTCTTCCATAAAGGAATGCAAGCTTCTCAAGGACAAAAGCTGTCCAATTATACCCCTCATAATATCCCTGGAGTGTACTGTTGACTCACTGAATAGACCAAGCTCTACTTTTTGAAAAAGTGGAATAAAGGGTAAGAAGATTCTATTACTACCATTTTGGAATTATCTGGCAAAATTTTCTCTGCCAGCACTGCACACAGACGTCTATCACTATGGGTACTTATCACCTCAAATAATTACGTTCACCCGAGGGCCAGAAAAACAGATTCTTTGTGTAGAATCCTTTACTGCAGAATTTGCCAAGGGATTTTTTCCCCCCTGGCGATCTCGGATTTGAGCAGGTGGGTCTGCAGAGGTGTGGCAAAAAAAATTCTGTGAGGAGTCTTCTTGTTATATTAAAACCCACGTAACAATAGGACCAAAAACCTTGGGGAAGAATGTTTCAACATCCATAATCACACAATTCCCACCTGATAGTTTCATTTTTTTTCTTCTTCCTTTAGGAAGATGGCTTAAGGGATTTTTTTTTAAACTAAATAAGCTTAAAGTAATATGACCACTGTAGTTTTTGGTGTTTACACCAATGAAGTCGTATCTGAAATTAGAATAAGAAAATGATGGGGCGCCTTGGGTAGCTCAGTCATTAGGCGTCTGCCTTGGGCTCAGGTCATGGTCCCAGGGTCCTGGGATTGAGCCCCGAGTGGGGCTCCCTGCTCAGCAGGAAGCCTGCTTCTCCCTCTCCCACTCATCCTGCTTGTGTTCCCTCTCTTGCTGTCTCTCCCTCTCTCAAACAAATAAAATCTTTTTTAAAATTAAAAAAAAAGAAAAAGAATTCATATCTGAAATTAGAATAAGAAAATTGCCAAAAGGTTATTTCATGTATTTGGCTCAGGAATTCTGTTTTTCAACAAACAAACAAGCAAACTAAACCCCCCACCTATTTTGTTTTATCTCATTCTCCATTCCCTCCCCCCGATCACAGTTCTGTACATGGTGTCCATGTACGGCTTTCATGGAAGCCACTTGAAGACCAAGCTCCTTGGGTAGAAGCCCTGCGGTTTCCATGCATCTTCTAGAATCTTCTATGGGCTCTCCAACCCCTGCCCCCACTGGCAGCTGTCTGCTGGGGGTCAGAAGGAATGGGCCTTGGAACTCACCATGCAGCAGCAGGACCAGCATCCCGTGGCCTTTCATGCACCCGGTGGCTTAGAACCACCCAGCTGTGGACTCCCTACCTGAAGGGAGACAGCACAGGTCACCGAGCGCCCAGGAGGGGTCCCTGGAGAACCGGGACACACAGGCCCCTCCCTCCACCTGCGCACTTCCTCCTGATTGCCCTGCCTTTGCCCTCTTGTTCACACTCACTTCTCCCCATCGATCTTGGTCTTAAGAGAAACCAGTAACAACAGCCCATCAGAAACTCCCCCCGCCCCCAATTGACAGCTTGGCTCTGTTTGGAAACCCTTCATCAGACTAGAACCCTGACAGCAACACAGATGGACTCACTGACAACCCAGCAAGCAAATGGACAGAGAGGAGACCTCTGCTGAGAAGCATTCATGAATAGTCAGTCCCCAAATGTCGCTTACTGTCCTGGGGGTCTGCCTGGTCCTGCTCCTCCTCCAAGGCTCCCTTCGGCTCCCCAAGCCCATCCATCTCCTAAGTCTGGCAGCCACAGACCTAAAAAATGGTCCAGCAGAGAAGTAAAGGGGAGTGGGGGTGGGGAGGGGGAGATGGCAAGCAGGAGTCGAGGAGAAATACTTGCTTGTGCAGGTTCGAGTGCTTATTTTTCTTTCTCCAGATTTAATGGCAGGAAAATCCTGTATCAGATGAGGATTAATAGAGATGAAAGAATTTGTCTGCCTTTCGAATCACCAAAGCCCAGGACAGATTTTGCTGACACACCAATCGGCTTTATCTCCAGGCCTTGGCCTCTCCATCTGCCTGGCCCCTTTCTCTCCTTAAACCAACCCCCACAGACCCCACCTCCCAACCTGACCCCAGCCCCAGCCTCAGCCCCCAAGCAATATGTAGCCAGAAACTGGCTTCCTGCTTCTGCCAAACAGCATTATCAGCATTTTCAACAAGGATGCTGTTATAGAACCTGGAGAGGTGGGAAGGGAGAGAGCTCTCCATTTTCACCTGATTCCCATGGGTGTGGGGGCTGGTTTAGGGGAGCGGAGGGGGCAGTTCGGGTGCCCCCCACATTCTTCTGGCCCCAGCAAGCTTGGATGTAGGATCCGGCCCTCTGCTCTGCTGGGACTGACCTGGCAGGTACCCAGGGCTTAGAACCACCCAAGGGGAGACAGCCACATCCTGGCTGGCCTGACCTTGGTATGCTGGTGCTGCTGGATGGAAGCCTGGAGTTCCCTTCCCACAACCGGGGCTCGGGGTGCAAATCTAGACGTCCGCCGCCGCCATGCCTGGAGAATTTTGGTTTTCTTGCGCTTGGGCCTTGTAAGCCAATATAAGGCTGAACTTGCTATAACCTCTGCTGGGAAGGAAAGCATCCTGGCGATGGGGTAGAAATGTGTGCATGGCCTTACAAACGAAACCTCTGCCCAGGCTGGAAGGCGGCTGGAACAGCCTGTCCACAACTACAGTCCTTGCCCGCGGCTTACTGGACCCACCTCGCCTTCAGTCCTCTCCAGGCTCTTGGGTCTGTCGCTCTGGGCCAAGGACCTCCCTGAGGAAGACCTTCTCTACTTAGGAAATCAGACATTTCTCCCAGATGCAAAGTCAGGAGCGGTCAGAGACCCTCAGCGGGGAAAGGAAAGGACCCAACCGCCAAGCCAGCTAGCACCACGGACTCCAGCTGGAGAACAAGCCACCTTGCGATCAAAAACTTTGATCCCAAGGGCCCTGAGGGGTTAAAAGCAAGAGGGTGGGGGTGGTCACAGGAAGTGAAACCGAGATGGACTGGCATACCCTCAGGGAGAAACTTCAAAGATCCAGGCAGTCTGGCCCCCAGCCTGCAATGCCGTTGGTAGCTGATAAGAAGGAAAAGGGAGGAGGAGTGTGTAAGTAACCCTGTGAAACAGAAGCGGCCCAGGAAGCAACACTCTGCCTTTGCAGGTGGCCTTCTAGAAAAGCTTCCTGTCGGCAGAGGAGGGGTGGGAAGCCCTGGTGTTTCTTTGTAATTCCTGCTGCCGGGGGTGGGGGTCGGGGGGGAAAAGTCAAAATTCCTCCTGTGGATTCGTGGGTCAGGCATTCAGCCACCTCCTGTGCACACTCTTGGAGAAGACTCTGATACGAAACCAGATTGTTTCTATTTCTCTGCCTCCGATCCCTCCTGCTTGCACACACAGACACACACACACCACGTGGAGATAAGACCATTGGGGGGAGGAGGGGGGACGGAGGGCACAGACATGTGAAGCTTGACTCCAAGTGAAACAAAGCAAAGGTGCCCTGTTTCCCTTTTTTTGTGTGTGTTTTAATTTCTGTAATCCCCACACCCAACATGGGGCTTGAACTCATGACTCTGAGATCAAGAGTCGCATGCTCTTCCCGCTGAGCCAGCCAGGTGCTCCGAGGTGCCCTGTTTCATGTCATATGAGGCAAATCAGACACACGCCCAGGAGAGCCCTGGAAGGAATTGGGAATCGCTTCATTCATGCAACACATGTCCTCATGTTTGGTTCGCGTTCCCCCAGAAACAGATCCTGAGACAAAGATATAAATATAAGTACAATCAACCAGCAAGCAACGTGAGTTGGAAACGCACAGGTCCACTTACGTGAGGATTTTTTCCCCAACAAACACACTACAGTACGGGAAATGTATTTTCCTTATGATTTTCTTTTTTTTTTTTTTTTTAAGATCTTATTTATTTATTTGAGAGAGAATGAGTGAGAGAGAGCATGAGAGAGGAGAAGGTCAGAGGGAGAAGCAGACTTCCCAAGGAGCTGGGAGCCCGATGCGGGACTCGATCCTGGAAATCCTGAATCATGACCTGAGCCGAAGGCAGTCGCTCAACCAACTGAGCCACCCAGGCGCCCTTCCTTATGATTTTCTTAACCACGTTTTCTTCTCTCTAGCTTATATGGCAAAAATACAGTACAGAATGCATAGCCTATACAAAATAAGTGTTCGTTGACTGTTTATGTTCTTGGGAAGGCTTCTGGTCAACAGCAGGCTCTTGGTAGTTAAGTTTTGGGGGAGCCAAAAGTTATACGTGGGTTTTCTGAGTGTCCCTAATCCCACCATGTTGTTTAAGGGTCACCCGGGCTTGATTCGGGAGGTGATTCCTGGGAGCACCAGTAGGAGAATGGAGAAGGTGGAAATCAACGGTGTTAACAGGCAAGTCAGCATTGTGGGCAAACAGAGACTAATCTACGAAGACAGTATAGAGCACATATCTCCGAATTATCCCAACTGCAGGGCAGGGAACCGGGCCATCTATCCACCAACACCCACCCTCTGTAGAGGGCTGCTCCAGGAGGAGATGAGGGGGTTCATATCCTCCAGCAATCTCTGGCTACCAGGCAAAATGATAGAGATGTACTGATTCCTAAAGAAAATTCTGAGCATGACTGGCTCAGTCAGCTAAATGTCTGCCTTCAGCTCAAATCATGATCTAGGGGTCCCAGTACGGAGCCCCACATCGGGCTCCCCACTCATCAGGGAGTCTGCTTCTCCCTCTCCCTTTACCCCTCCCCTCACTCATGCTCTGTCACTCTCTCATATAAATAAATAAAATCTAAAAACAAAAACCTCCTTTCCAGGGTCATCGCTTACGATAAATCAAGGGGCAGAATTCCTTATGGAAGGTGGGAGCAGCTAAGCTTCCCCAATTTGGCATTGGTAAAGAAATGCCGATTACCAAGGTGGCCTGGTGCAGGGAGACGTGTTGGGATTTTTGCACAATGCCAAGCTGCCCTGGGATGGGCTACAGGGTCTCCTCCTGTTCTGATGGGCGAGGGTGCCTCTCAGGGGCTCCACAGCCCGGGAGGCCCCCACGCTACATGGTACAGTGATACAGGAGGCTTCGCCTGTTACTCGAAGGGCGCAGACTTCACCTCCAGCCTTTCTGCACGGTGGTCACAATTCACAGACACTCTGACCCTGGATGGCCGGTCCCCCAGCCTTTGCGCCTTTCTCTCCTCACTTCTCCACGTGCTGAAATTCCAGCCTTCCTGGCAGGCTTAGCACAGCGCTACCTCCTCTAAGAAGTGAGCCCCTTCCTGGCGTACTCCCTGGATGCCCACAGGCCTTGCCCTTTGTAGCGTTTGGTCCAGGTTTGTGGCTGATCCAAATCGCCCTCCCACAACGCCAAGATCACCCTCAGACTGGGCAAGATGGAGGGAGACCCAGGGTGAGGAGTCATGGGGCCCCCGGGACCTCAGAACGCAGTGCCCAGACTCTGAACCTGCTTTTCTTAATCACCCCCCTAAGCGTAGACTGTGCCACTACTGTGTATGCTGGAGAAGTGGCCTCTTAAGGGTCAGCTGTTTGCACATGGAGGACATGTGGGGGGAAGGGCCCTCGTGGTCTGGGATGGACCCAGGCAGGTTAAGTGACCTGTTTCCCAGAGTGACAGGTAAACATGAAGCGAGTACCCCGTCCGCCTGCCTCCCAGTCCCTGGGCTTTTCCGGGACCCTAGTAAGACAAGGGAACAAAAGATGCCCCCCCATGGCCACTCCCGCTGCCTGCGTGAGGAGGGGGAGGTACCAGCCCACTTTTTGCTAGGCACGGAAGGCACCCCTAAACTACGTTAACTGAAGCTATTCCACGGCTAAAATACCTAACTCCTTTCTTATCTATTAGCAAATTCCCCTGTCCCCCAGCTCGGTGACCAGCTTGGGCCTCGCTGCTTTACTGGGGGGAGGGGAGAGGCAGAGAAAACCATGCCCTCATTCCGCTGAGCCCCCCCACCCCGGGTGGAGTGACGTCACCCCAACCGCAGACCAGGTGCAGACTCGCGCCCCCTTCCTTCTCCCGGGGCGCAGGGCGCGCCACCGCAGCAATGGAGGGGGCTGCAGGCATTGAGTCACAGGTCTGGACCTTTCGGCCCAGCCGCTCCCTTCCCCCCCTCCCCGGGCGTCGGAGAACTAGTTCAGCTCGCTAGCCCCGGCTGGCAACCACGCGTCACACCGTGGTTTTCACCCCTTAAGGTCACGTCCTTGCGAAACCTTTGCAGCTTCTGCCTGCGTCCTCCCGCCCAGCCCAACCCCAGGGTCAAAGAGGAGGGGCTGCCGGGCGCGGAGCCCCGCCCCCGCCGAGTCCCGCCCCTCCCCGTGTGACCGCCAGAGGGCGCCCTGGCTCCGGAGCCCCGCCGGGCGGCTCCCAGCCCCAGCCCCCACCTGCTCCCCGCCCCCGCAGCGCCATTCTCAGCAGCAAGGCCGGGGAGGCTGGGGCCCGGGAAAGTCCCAGAGCGCGTCGCTGCCGGAAACGTTAGTCACGCACCTGGAGCCGCAGAGTGTCCCGCTGGAAGGGATGCCAGGGCGAGGGCCTGACTTTCCAAAGGTCACACCCTGGGGATGGTCTCCCAGTGCCTTGCCCTTGTGACTCGGCCACGTAGCTCTGATGGTGGCTGATACCCTGTTAGCTCCTTTGTGCATGAAAAGCTGGCCCCAGGGACCCTTCCTGCCATTTCATTCAACAAACACTGCCCGCTGCCCAAAGATACACCTCCGTGGAGCCTCTTTTGAAATCATCACTCTTTACACTGCATCAAAAGTAGGTCTCTCTTCAAAGAAACCAGAGCTCCTCCAAGAAAAGGTTACTTCCATGGCCAGGGGCAGGCAAAGTACAACGCCATTCTGGAACGTCTTATTTTTTCAGAAGACAAGCCATCCAAGATACTTGGGTGGGTAGAAGAAAAGTCAAGTCGTTCCACTGGCCAAAGATGGGACAAGCATCGATAAGAATACTGACCTAAGTAAACTGAAATGCAACAAATAAACTAAACGTTCGTTAGATCCGTGAGTTTATAATGATACTTAAAAACATTCATCAGTAGACTTTGGAGGTTACTAAAGCATTATTTTGAAAGGTGGTAACTAGGGTGCCTGGGTGGCTCAGTGGGTTAAAGCCTCTTCCTTTGGCTCAGGTCATAATCCCAGGGTCCTGGGACCCAACCTTGCATCGGGCTCTCTGCTCAGCGGGGAGCCTGCTTCTTCCTCTTTCTCTGCCTGCCTCTCTGCCTACTTGTGATCTCTGTCTGCCAAATAAATAAATAAAATCTTTAAAACAAAACAAAAAAAAAGGTGGTAACTAAGGGGAAAGAATCAAGCGTTTATGTTGCCTTTCCATATTTATGGACTATAAGGTAACCAAATGCACTAGTTGATGAGGTAAAGTCTCTCTTTATAAAAGAATCACAGCTAGGGGTGCCTGGGTGTCTCAATCATTAAGTGTCTGCCTTTGGCTCAGGTCATGGTCCCAGGATCCTGGGATCAAGCCACACATCCAGCTCCCTCCTTGGCGGGAAGGCTGCTTCTCTGTCTCCCACTCCCCCTGCTTGTGTTCCCACTCTCGGTGTCTCTCTCTCTCTTTCTCTGTCAAATAAATAAATAAATCTTTTTTTAAAAATCACAGAATAAATAATAAATAATAAATCCAGAAGTGACAGAATGAGGAAATGACTATGCTGCAGTGAAATCATGAATCCTACTGATCACCCCTAACATGCCTCCAAAATGGCACAAGCAGACAGTAGGTGCCTCCTGACATGACCTAATAGAAAGTACACAGCACTATCATGGAGGTAATCACAGCCAAAAAAGAAAGAACCTGAAGCTAATCAAGCCTCCAGATCCAGCTACTATTTAAAGAAATATGAAGGATGGAGAAATATGTTAAAAGACACCAAAGATGCAATCAGCTAAATATAGATTGTGGAAAGTTCTACAGGGCAAGTGATCCAATTTTTCCAACAAATTAATGGAATGGGGAGGAGGGGAAAGAAGGGAGATCTGTTAAGTGAAACAAACTTACAAGACGTCAAATAAGGCAATCTTTGGATAATTGTGAAACAGTCAGCAGAAACAAAATACAGACTGATTATTAGGTAATATACAGAGTTAGTTTCCTCCTGGGTGTGATGGTGGTATTATACCCTATTTTTAAAGTTCTTATGCATTAGGAAAAAATATAGAAGTATTTATGGTGAAATTATATGTCTGGGATTTGCTTTAAAATCTTCCCACAAAACAAGTGGCAGGGAAGAATTGAAACAGAAATAGCATAGGGGCGTCTGGATGGCTCAGTCGGTTAAGCATCTGCCTTCGGCTCAGGTCATGCATGGTGCTGGGATTCTGGGATGGAGTCCCACATCAGGCTCTCCATTCAGTGGGGAGTCTGCTTCTCTCTCTCCCCCTACCCCTCCACCCTGCACGTGCTCTCTCTCATTCACTCTCTCAAATAAACAAATCTTTAAAAAAAAAAAAAAGTTGAGGCATCTGGGTGACTCAGTTGGTTAAACATCTGCCTTTGACTCAGGTCGTGGTCCCAGGGTCCTAGCATCAAGCCCCATGTGGGGCTCTCCACTTAGCAGGGAGTCTGGTTCTCTCTCTCCATCTCCCTCTGTCCCTCCCCCTGCTCGTGCTCTCCTTCTCTCAAATAAATAAATAAAATCTTTAAAAAAGAAAGAAAGAAAGAAAGAAAGAAAGAAAAGAAAAGAAAAGAAAAGAAAAGAAAAGAAAAGAAAAGAAAAGAAAAGAAGGGGCCCCTGAGTGGCTCAGTCGTTGAGCATCTGCCCTCAGCTCAGGTCATGATCCCAGGTCCTGGGATCAAGCCCCGCATCAGGCTTCCTGCTCCACAGGGAGCCTGCTTCTCCCGCTCCCATTCCCCCTGCTTGTGCTCCCTCTCTCGCTGTGTCTCTGTCGAGTGAATAAATAAAATCTTTAAAAAAAGAAAGAAAGAAAAAGAAATAGAAAGTTGAGGTGCCTGGGTGGCTCAGTCAGTTAGGTGTCCGACTCTTAATCTGAGCTCGGGTTGTAATCTCAGGGACCTGAGTTCAGGCTGCATTGTTGGGCTCCGCATGGGGAGCCTACTTAAAAAAAAAAAAAATAGCAGAAAGTTGATAACTGCAGAAACTGGTGATGAATACATGAGGTTCCTCTACTTTGGTGTGTGTTTGAAAACTGTTTAGAATAGCTTTAAAAAAGTATGCTCCTCATTTGACCTCTTTCAGATATATAGCTAAATATACTTGGTGGGAAGAAAATTTTCTATTTGTCTCTGAACGTCCTTCCATGCATTCCTCTCAAGTGTCATACATTTCCTTCATTTGAATGAATGAAAATGGGGTGCCTGGGTGGCTTAGCTGGTTAAGCACCTTTCCCTGCTCAGTTAGAGAGCCGCTTCTCCCGCTCCATCTGCCCTACCCCTCCCCCACCCCAACCCGGCCCCCCCACCGCGAGCTCGCTCTTCTCACTCTCGCTCTATCTCAAATAAATAAAATCTTTAAAAAGAAAATGAAAATAACCTATAAAAAGTAGAATAATTAGCAATCATCCCTTCCTTTTTCAATCTAGAACAGTTCCATATATAACCCAGAACTCAAAATGGTGAAGGAGGAAAGAGAATCAGAATCTCTGAATTTTACGGCCCATTCCATCTACTGTTTGGATTTTCTTCGTTGTTTGTTTGTGAGATGGCTTACAACAAGCAATAATTGCTTATGGACCCCACAACGTGCTGTTTTGGCTCAGGTGTCCAGCATGTGATCATGCTGTAAGGTATGATCAAATTTGTGCTCCTCATTCAAAGCCTGTGAATGTCAATTCCTGGTGGAAACAAAGGAGGCTGAGCCCATTGTTTAGCGGTAGGGAGGCAGCTTCATTCTACCAAAGTCCTTCCCCAAACAGGACCTTTCTCTTTGTATTTCACTTTCCTCTTTTGTAAAATAGGGCTGTTTTACTTCTTCCTAGTAGAGTGATAAGGGCTAATTTAAGCTTGCGGAAGCACTTTCAAAGAAGATCCTAAGATGTACCCTGCCAGGGAAGTGAAAACTATCATTAATATATTTTAATCATCAAGTTAAATACATAGATACACCCACCCCTTCTCCATTCAGGCAGATTTCTGCAAAGGGGTAATTAACTGCGATGATGTCATAACCACAGATCCCTGCTTTCATCCTGAAAGCTGCAGTTTCCAAACGCTTACTAAGTCCTCATTAGACTTTTAAAACATATTAACAAAGTACAGATTCTCCCCATCTGAGTGAAAGCACGCTGGAAAGAGAAACCTCTTGCTTTGTAAACAGAGTGAATGAACAGTAAAAGTAGCCATCTTTTCCGTAAGCCTGCCAAAAACCCAGCGGGCAGCAGTAATAAAACAAAACGCTGAGATTACAGGTTTGGAAAATCAACTCGATTGCTTCCAAAATGACCCCCCAGAAACCTGTACTTGCCTTTTAAGTCCTCACCAGGAGGCGAGGAGCTACAAGATTCCTGTCTCCTGACACCTAGCAAGGAATGACTGGCAACTTTTCAGCCATTCAGTGCCAAGCCCACTGCGAAATAGCTGACCAGGGCGTTGCTAATGCAGACACCGGCCGCAGTAATGCAGCTCTTTGAAATGCTAATACAATGGTGTCAAATTTCCTGGCAGTGGGAAACCCTGCGCCGGCTCCCAGGATCTGCGGGGAATCACCGGCTCCTGGGGTGGGGCAGGAGACCCGTGTGTTTCACCTAGTGACTTCCGGGTCTCATTTCCGGCTTGCTCCGAATTCTCTGCCACCCACTTTTTCTCTCCACTCCACGTCAACCCGAATATGAAATAAAGCCCCCTTTCCGCAACCTCCCCCAAACCCTACTCCCCAAGGCGGCTGTGAATGTGTGCAGACTTCTGCTCAGGATTTGGAGGCAGCAATGGCGTGCTACCTCACGGAAGAACAGAGGACAGTTTTTAAGACGGAATGGTTGATACCGCCCCCCACCCAGCCACACACCTTCCCCTCACCCCGCTCCGCCTTTCCTGCCCCGGACCCTTCCGCGTGGTTCCCCTCTCCAGCCACTCTGCGGGCCATCTCCTCCTCCTTTGTTCCTCTCCCCAGCAGACACCCCCAAATCCCCCCAAATTCTTCATTCTTTTGTTATGCTAAAGCAGTCTGGCTCTTTGTCTCTCATTCCCAGGTGGCCCCAGCCCTGATCTCTTTCTACAGTCACGGTGGCCCATCAATCAGTCTGCTTTTCTAAACAAAGACAGTTGAACCCCCAAAGAATTCTGCTCTGTATCACTTAGGACTGCTTTTCAGAAATTTACAATTTGTGCAACAACCAAAAAAAAAAAAAAATCAGTTTAATAATACTTCCTCTCCGCCACTAAGATCGATGACAGTGCAGAAAAGCGTTATAATTTTTCAGCCACTAAGATGAACATTAAATTGAACTCGAAAATCCTTCCTTGTATAGATTCTCCAAAGCCATCTCTAAGGTCATTTTATAAATATATCAGAAATGCGGGGCACCTGGGTGGCTCAGATGGTTAAGTGTCTGCCCTGGGCTCAGGTCCTGATCTCAGGGTCCTGGGACTGTCTCCAAGTTGCCCTCCCTGCTCACTGGGGAGTCTGCTTCTCCCTCTGACCCTCCCCCATCTCATGTTCTCCCTCTCTCTCTCGAATAAATAAAATCTTTAACATATATATATGTTCTGATATATCAGAAATGAGTTCTCCGTGGTTTCCTTGGATTTGAGACTTTTGTGGAAACAAGAGAACTCCATATGAAAGATTTTCATAAAGACTGAAGAGTATTAATTCACTTAAGAAGATTATCAAAGAAAACTATGGCCCCACAAAGTTCGAGCACAGTGGATGTCCCCAGGTGATATGTCACAAATCTGGAGATGCTTAGCC